CATTTGATCAGATAACAGCATTACACTTTACAGGATTTGGTTGACCAAAACAAGACCTCAAAGTTTACCTTTGTTCTTTATTGATAGACTATCAGCTACATAGTCAGAAACTGATTTGTCAATTTTGCACTGTTTTAGACAAAAATGTTTGAATTTTTTAAGAGTGACTGTTGAGTCAATATTTGTTGATTATTTGTAAAGTATTAAAAAAGGTGTGGAATGTTTGGTTTTATCTTTTAAATGGATGCTAGCCCTAATGGTGTATTATAAATGAATGATTAATATCATGTACATTTTATTTTTATCACATTCCTTTTTATAACCTTCATATTTACGTTCAATGATTTCCCGATATACTCCATCTCGCCGTCTCTGATCTTCCACTCAAATCCTTCTTTCTGTCTCCAAATGCCGTACCAAAACCTATGGTCAATGTTCTTTTACTTTTGCTTCTGCCTATTTCTGGAACCAACTTCCAAATTACATAACTTCTTCCTACTCTATTTGCAACTTTAAGTCACAGCTTAAAACCTATTTGTTTTCCGATGGCTTTTCACATATGTTGCGCCTTTGATCTTATTTGGAATTGGCGCCATACAAATTCGAGATATTATTATTATTATTATAATCCTTTCATTTCATTCAATTCAATTCCTGTCACTGCAGGAATTTTTCTCACAACTAATATGTACACTACATTAAAATTGACGTTTATTATGATATTTCTACAGCAAATTCTGAATCAGTGTTTTGATGAAATAGAGGCTTTTATAGCAAGTCTACAGAAAGCTGCAGATGCTTACACAGAACTCTCTCGCTTACGTCGTCAACGCAAAAGCAAGAAGCGAGAGCATGGAGATGGGCTCCTTATTTCACGTTCAAGACCACCCCCAGAAGCAGACTATGTTGATTGTTTTCAGAAGTTCAAATTTGCCTTTAATCTCTTGGTAAGTAAAAAACTTAGAAAGCAAAACAGAATTTTTATTTCCCATAAGGAGAAGTCATGATATTGCATTCACATTGTTATATGAAAGATATAAAATATGTACATTTAGAACAGACAAACATTACATTGTAATTTTATTGCTCTACAAATAATAAGTGAGTTACTAGTATTAGATTAATGGTCTCCTATATATGGTAACTTCTACAAAGAACATTTTTCAAACTAAACCAGGAAATAAATATAGACTAATCCAAAAAAAATATCATAGAAAATCACAAAGGAGAGGGTAAGGGGCAAAATTTGGTGATTGTGAATTAAGTGGTTTTGTGTGTTTTGTGCACCTTCTATATTAGATGTATAGTGCGTTTTTTATAAACAATATGCATGGGTTCTAGGCAAACCCAAAATTCTGAAGGCGCAGAAAGACAAAACAAACACAAGGAATGCCTAAATATGTAACACATTTCAAGCATGAATGTTGTACTAATAATTAGCTATATTAAACTAATAATGATTATTCTTATTTTTGTACATTAGGCAAAGTTAAAGGCTCACATCCATGATCCAAATGCTCCGGAACTAGTACACTTCCTGTTCATTCCATTGGAGTTGGTAGTTCAGAGTTGTCAGGGACCAGAGTTGGCTTCTTCCGTCGTTTCTCCTCTGCTCACACCACAAGCTATTGAGCTTCTTCGCAACTGCCTCACATCGAGAGAAAACGATCTATGGATTACATTAGGCCGTGCCTGGAACACACCAAAGTAAGTTCAAGAACTGAAATTCCTTTATCTGATTAAAGCTTGGTTTCCATACAATCACTACACACTATCGCCGACAGCTTTCAGTTATGCTGACTGGTCGGTTGCGTCGGGAAACCTTCCCGAACTGCTACACAGTGCAGTGTTTGCACTGAAGCACTGTAGTGTCAGTATAGCAGTTTAAGAAAACCAGGGTTTTTACAGTGAAATTAACAGCCAAACTCCATAAAGAATTCTGTAACCCCTTGTTCATTTCATTCATCCATTCATTACGTATCATCATTTGGTCAAGCTTGCGTGTGATTGTATATTTCCCTTCACTCCACCTATCAAGTTTCTGCATTGTATTTGTTAGGTCAGAAGGAATATGTCTGAGGTTGGTCGATGTAAGTTTGCAGGAAGACCAACCCATGTCCCTCCATGTTGCTGTGTTGTTACCAGTATATCAGTTCAAATAAACAACAGACTTGAAGTAAAAACAAGTAAAATGATTGTTTAAAACAAAATATAAGATAACTCAAATCACTACTAATCATGTGTACTAATTTCTGATTGTGTTTATATTTCTATAATTTTGTTTTTTATTTTTATAATTTCAGATCAGCGTGGCCGAAGGATCACTATGTCCCAGTTTACACACCCCAGTTCCGCAATGGTTGGGTTCCACCCCCAAACCCAGACAGCCAACATCAGGAATATGGTCGGGTTAGTGGAAATTTTTTTAATTATGAAATTAAAGAACAAAAATTGTTTTTGCAATTGTTAGTTAAAAGCTTGACCATGGTAGAAAAAGCATTTTTAATGAATATGCTACAAATTTTGTCTTTATTTAGAATGACAATCAAAGACGAAGTAACTATGGGCAACTCCCGCCCCAGCAACAGGGAACATCATCACTTGGGCCACCACCAACCATGACTCCAACCCCACCTCCAGCAGTGGTCAACAGCGGCCAGCACTCACCTCGTTCTCTCCAGCCACGAATTAGCAAAGCTACATTTGACTTTGTTGCTCGCAACAACAAGGAGCTGACCATTATGGCAGGAGAAATACTTGAGGTATGGCATTATTATAATTGATAACAAATGTTGTTATAAAAGTTGGTGAAATTTTAACTTTGAATCACTTAACAAATTGCGTGTTATTGGTGAAAGGTTCAAGTCACACCATATTCACAGATGGTTTGCCACATACAAGGATTCTCGTGTCTTTTAATGTTTTTCCTTAAATTGAATATGTTTTTTTATCTGTAATTTACTATTGTTATTATTATTATTATTATTATTGATAATATTAATAGTGATGATAATATTGTTAATATTTTAATTATTGTATTATTATTGTTGTTGATTTTTTTTTTTTTTTTTTTTTTATTAATTAATGAACCACGAACTCAAGGAAGAACAACATTTTACAGTTTCCTTTTTGATAGTGTATTTTTCATGTTGAATTTGGGTTTTGCCATGTATAAGTAAAGAGATTATTATTATTAGTAGTATTATTCTTGAACTGGCAGACCAAAAACAGCAAGAAGTGAATTTGTACAGCAAAAATAATATTAGCTTCAAATACAGTGTATCAGCATGATTATGCTATCTTTTTTCATTTATGGTGGTAACAAATAAAAGTAATACTTGACAGGTTTTGGCCTAAGTTTATTCCATAGCATTGCTATGGAATGAACTTAGGATACCTGTCAAGTATTAATTTTATTTGATACCATAGTCTTACAATGTAACGTCTTGTCTCTTTTATATTTTAATTTTATTTTTTTAAATATTTTATTTGCTTATTTAAAGTTTTTGTCTATTTCTTTGATACAAATTTCATGTTAATTTATAACTAATAAACATCATATAGATACAGTACTGTAAGATGGCCTTAATTGTTTCCCATACCTAACTACACTTTACAATTTTAAATGCATAACAGCATGAATTTACAAATAAAATTTTATATTTCTCTCAGATTCTTGATGACCGCAGAAAATGGTGGGAAGTTCGGAACTCATCTGGACAACAAGGTTTTGTTCCATCTACCATCTTGGAGATAACAAACCAACCAAATACAAATGCATCAAACTCAAACAGTCGCATTCCAACACCACCGCAGCAATCCCCAAATGGGTTTGGAGCACCAGGGAGTGGTCAGATGCTCTACCATCACCACCACAATGGACATCAACCCTTCCTCCAGGATCAGGTGAGGTTTCTTTTACCTGCAAGTTTAGACCGTCATGATTCGTCATAATTTGTTCGCAATGACTCTCTGTGATTGTTATCTCAGTTTGTTACTTTGCAGCCACTCTCCAGTTTATTGCACTGACATGTCTCTTCTGATTTTATTTCACTTTTAGTTTTCAAAAAAAATAATGATGTAACTTGATTTATTATTGTCCATCTTGTTTACCTTTAATTTTTAAGGTGATTTAAAGTGTAAGCACATATGCAGAAATATTTTCTCACAAAACTTCCACTGGAATACTTTCTTTATAATAAGTAAGCATTGAATCCATCTTGACTTTATATACATGTTTCTTTTTCTGCATCTCATCTTGGCACGGGAAGCAGGGCAAATACCGTTGGAAGATGAACCCAGCCTTGGCTAAGATTATAGCACAGAAAGCAGCAAAGAATTCTCAGGTTGATTATGATATCATTGAAGATGACTCCCACTATAGTCCGCTAAATCACCGCAACAAAGTCTCACATGTAAACACACATGCACAAGTGCATGCACAGGTCCATGCAAATGTGCGTCCATTTTGCAAATTCCAAGTTGCACTGTTTGGATTTTTTTTTTGGTTTATTTTTCAAATGTTTTCCTCTAATACTTCTATTAGTTTTACTTAGTTGGATAAAATGGATATAATTATGCTATTTAGTTTTGGTAATTTTGGGTTTCATTTTTTTTTAGCTGTGGTTCTTTGTGTAATTATGTGTCAGATTTTTGTATTCAACACATCAATTCTTATGTTCATTTTAAAACTTTCAAATATGTTCTATTGGATGATGATGAAAGCAAGGATAGGAGTGTTGATGATGAGAATGAGGATGAGGATGATAAATGTTAATGAAGATGACAACTATTGCACTTATGTTATAATGGTTATCAACTATTATAATTATAGTGATGATGATTATAACGACCATTACAATTATAATAATAATTATTACAACTATGACAATTATTATGAAACATGGGAAAAATTCAAGTTTTCCATGTTTCATACATCACAGAAACCAAATTATTTGAGCTTATTAAAATTATGGTTCTTGCTATTCTATTTGTTAGACTGTCATGTATTATTGTACAGTACTGTATATTAAGGTTCTGCAGATGTAGCCCTCTGCTCCCATAACACGCATGCATGATATACACCAAATATACATACACATGTCCACTATCAATATCTACGGTTAATACCAACATATAATATGTATTGTAAATATGTTGGACACAATAAATTGTATTTTTATATGTGTATTTTCATAATTATCATAGTTAAAGTTTTGTTTTCTTGTATTTTGGTGATTGGAGGGCCTCAGTGGAAAGCAGTGTTTTCACTAATACTTAAACAAGACTAAAAAAAACAGTATGTAAATCACTGCTGCCAATATTTGTTTTTGGTTTTCCTGAATTTCGTAAATTGATGGAGGATATTTTTGGTCTTGTGTAATGTTGTAATATGTTTTGAATTTTTTTTCCAGTGTTAGGTGATGGCTTGTTTTGCAATTTTCTTCACATTTTTTTTATTGAAGTAACATATATTTACATGTGGTGTTTTAAAAATGACTTTATTTGTTAATTGTGTTTCATCTGTAACATCTGCTACAGATGTTTTTCTATTTTATTTATTTCGCTGTTTGAGGATATGCATTATTTTGTTTCCACTCCTGGTATATAAAAATGAGAGAAAGGAAAGAAAATCAGAAGCAAGCCATATTTTGTATTGTAAATAACAATGATTTATTTTTGATTTGTTTTCTTAGGTTGATGGCCCTAAAACTCCCCCAGTTGCACCGGCACCGGTTGCTGCACCAGCTCCAGCTCCTCCCCCAGCCCCTGCTATTCCACCTCCACCTCCTGCTGTGCCCCCACTTTCGCAGACCAACAGTTGGCAGAGGAAAAGTAACACCACCAACAGTCAACCTGCTCAAACAAAAAATGGTATGTTTTACTTTACATATTAGATTAGGTGAAATGTGGCAATTCGTGAAAGGTAAGTGTATAGGACTGAAGCTGTAGCTTGGAGGAGATGCTTGGCTTCTTCCGATCCCAGTGTCAAACCATGTGACATAAGCGCCACATCCTAAGCCACATGATGAGGTTTACTTTATAGAGCATTTCATAATGTTGTGTGAGTTATCATATGATACAAAAACAAAAAAAATACCATATTTATTTAGCAAACAATTAAATATTAACTGAAATAATAATTATTTTATGTCATGAGTGGGTTATGGATGAATTAATACAAATCAGAATTCCCTGACTACCCTTGCATTTGTGTAGGTGTGTATGTACCAGATCACGATGATCATGATTATGATTATGATTATGATGAATATATTCGTGCTCAAAAACTTGCATTGGCTAAGAGTTGTAAGTATAAATTATAAACAGAATCGAATCTGAACTACCAAAACAAGCTTGCACTGGTTCTATTATTGGTCATCTACTATATATAGCAGAAGGTGCATTAACACATGTTGAGTAATTTTTCAGTTATTGGCTTTGATAACTAAAACCTTTATGTTGCAATGAAATGCAGGAAGATCTTATTTTTCACAACTCCTTTTTGATATTCTTTAAAAAAATACTGATTGTGTGAGTTTATTATTGGAAGAACATACATTGTGAGATTTATATCTGTGAGATTTATATCTGTCAGACTGAGAGACACTGTTTGATTAGATTTTGTCGGAAGGTCTGTCCACATTTAATG